AACAGAGCAGGGTAACACTGCATGATTCAAAATTGGGAAGGGTGTACGCTAGGGATGTGTCCTATCTATGTACCTTTTCAACCTGGATGCAATCTTCGGTGCTGGAGAAGAGTATTGAATGTACCATGGACTGCCAAGAAAACAAACAGATTCATCCTGGAGAGGGTTAAACCAGGCTAGTCCTTGGAGGCAACGTTTCTGGGCCTTCATCTGACACACTTCGGACATGTTATAAGGAGGGACAGGTCCTTGGAGAGGGACATCATGCTTGGTAGGGTGGAGGGATAGCACCTGAGGGGAAGACCCTCTGTGAGGTGGATTGCTTCGGTGACTGGGGTAATTGGCATGGGTGTGTCGGAGGCAATGCGATTGGCACAGGATAGAGCAGGGTTTAGGGCTGTTGTACATAGGATCGCTATGAGTTGCAAAAGGACTCGGCAGCACATAACAAGAACAACATATCATCTCTCTATCTCTATCTCTATCTCGCATCTATATCTGTGTCTATATCTATATTATCTCTCTATATATCATCTATATACCTATATCATCTATATATCTCTATCTCTATATCATCTATATATCTATCTCTATCTATCTATATCGGTATCATCTATATCTATATCATCTCTCTCTCTCTCTCTCTCTATGTAAATTTATATATATTTAGTTGTTGTTAGATGCCTCGAGTAGAGTACATATATATTGTATATATATAATCATATTGTATACTAGAAGACTTTCTGCTGAGGAACAGGTGATGAGTTAGATGCTTCAAACTTTTGTTAGCCTACCACACAACTGAGGCTCCTTATGCATAGCACACCTACTCTTTATTCATGAACACTGAATTGTTTTTGTGTGCCATGAAGTTGATACTGTCAATATTTTTTAGTACCATTGAGTAGGAACTGACCCGTAGCTGACCCTCCAGTGGATTTTCAGAGGCAGTAAATCACATGAGAGTTGATCTCCCGTCTTTCTGCCGCAGAGCAGCTGGTGGATCCAAACTATGGGTTTTTGGGTGGACATTAGCAACTCATTAACTATACACTAAAAGATATTGTTGGGTAACGCTGAGTCAATTCCAGCTCTCACAGAGGAGAACTGCCCTACACCATTGTGGTACCAAGGCTGTGTAGAAAAAAAATATCATATATATATAATCTATATATACTATATTATATATTTATATATGTCATGTTATATATGTGGAAGGAGGAGTGGCATCCACTTCCATAATAGCTTGCCTCTGGAAACCCTATGAACCTGGAGAGAGGATGAAAGGCACCCAATTGTCGAGGACTCTCCTTCATAGGGTCGCTATGAGTCGGCTGCGACTCGACAGCACTTAACAACAACAGCAACAACAACAACATATTATATATTTATATATTATATATTTCTCTATATATACATTTCATAGTATATAAGTTGCAATATAATAAATGCGCAGTCCCATGACAAGAATATGTGAGGGGTTGAGAAATCTTATGATTTATGTTTTTTCCAATATAGTAATTTGTTCTGTCTATAATATCTACTTTCCATTTTGGCTAACCTTCAAATTACTTTCACTTTTATGTTTTGCTCTGTACCACCTATCTGGGGCGGGGAGGTATTTGTGTCTGCCTCAGTTCAGATAGTAATTGGAATGTCAATGTTCACTTCTTAGCCAGTGTTTTTCCTGTTAAGTTCTCCATCTGTCCAGTGCTTTCTGATCATCCCACCGGTCTCTCCCTCTTCCTAACACCTTATGTCAATGAAAATTCTATACGCATTCAATCAAGTGAGTGACACCCAGCTCAGAAAACACACAGGCTGGTTGGGGAGGAAGGCAAGCTTTTCCTAGAGACCCTCTGGGCAATGAAACAAATTCATCTTGTTTATAGAACAAGACAGTCACACTCGGATGAGCACTAAAAATATTTTGCAGCATGAAATAAGTTGGTTACAAAAGGACAATATTGTATGGACCCCTTATATCTAGAAATATCTAGAATAGACAAGTCTGTTGACACCAAAGATTATTAGTGGTTACCATGGGTGGGCCCAGAGGAAGAGAAAAAGGGAACATTGCTTAGGACACGTTGAGCTTCTATAAAAATATTTGGAAATGAATAAAGGTGATGGTTGAAGAACATAGTAAACAAATGATAAACCTAATTATTGTACAGCGGAGTGACATTATTTACACACACTCTCACACATATATGTAATTTACCACAAAAAGGTAGGTAATATATTCTCCTAAAAAAGTAATATGGTACTATTATAGTAGGAGCTTACTGTTGTTGTTATGTGCTGCAACTCATAGCGACCCTATGTACAACAGCCCTAAACCCTGCTCTCTCCTGTGCCAATCTTATTGTCTCTGACACACCTACCCCTTTTACCCCAGTCACTGAATCAATCCACCTCATCCAGGGTCTTCCTCTCTTGCACTGTCCCTCCACCCTATCAAATTTATAATTGAACACAGTTATGCGACTCTAATACAAAGCTGAAGGTGAGATGTAATTCTTACTGGGTTAAAGCATTGAAGAGGGAGTTCCTGACTGAGTTTGGATACTGGCTTATGAACTGTGTGACCCTGGTCAAGTTTGCTTCATGGCATAATAATCAAGGGAGCCCTATCATCACAACAGCCAGGAGAACAATTAGTACCTAATTCATAGGGCTATTATGAGATGTAAATAGAGTGTTTTACAGAAAGTGTTTCACACATGCCTGAGGAAAATGGCAGAGTCTCTGCTTGGTGCAAACAGTAAAGTGCTTGGCTGCTAACCAAGTTGGAGGGTCTGGCTACCAACGTTCCTGGAAAGAAAGGTCTGGCAATCTACTATTGTAAAATCAGCCATTGAAAACTAAGGAGGACCATTTCAAGGTGACACCAGTTTGAATAAACCCAAAGGCACTCAAAAGGCTTTGGGCTTGATAAAAATATTAGTAGCTATTCAGTAATCTTGAACTAACGTTTCCTTTTTTTTCTTATCTCTCCTGTCTGCCCTTCCCTTCTGTAGCATGAACCGCACCGCCTACACTGTGGGAGCCCTGATTCTCCTCTTGGGGACCCTGTTGCCTGCTGCCGAAGGGAAAAAGAAAGGGTCTCAAGGGGCCATCCCTCCGCCAGACAAGGCCCAGCACAACGACTCGGAGCAGACTCAGTCCCCGCAGCAGCCGGGTGCCAGGAACCGGGGGCGGGGCCACGGGCGGGGCACTGCTATGCCCGGGGAGGAGGTGCTGGAGTCCAGCCAGGAGGCCCTGCATGTGACCGAGCGCAAATACCTGAAGCGAGACTGGTGCAAAACCCAGCCGCTCAAGCAGACCATCCACGAGGAGGGCTGCAACAGCCGCACCATCATCAACCGCTTCTGCTACGGCCAGTGCAACTCCTTCTACATCCCGCGACACATCCGGAAGGAGGAAGGCTCTTTCCAGTCCTGCTCCTTCTGCAAGCCTAAGAAATTCACCACCATGATGGTCACGCTCAACTGTCCCGAACTGCAGCCGCCCACCAAGAAGAAGAGGGTCACACGTGTGAAACAGTGTCGCTGCATATCCATCGATTTGGATTAAGCTGGCACGCCCAGCCTGTCCTAGGGATGCAGCCCCAGGCGGGCTCATAGCCAGACCTACAACAACCTGATTCCTACTTGGCTTAAACCTAAGGGCACAAGAAACACCAGCTGCCTCTTGGCAGGAGCCTGCTTGTCTGTAGTTTGTGTGCTTGAGTGTGATGGGTGTCTGTGGGTGTTAGAGACAGCAGAGGAAACACCGCCTCTGCTCTAGGGCACTTCCTATTATGTAAAGGTATTAGCTTCATCCCAGGATGGAAGGGAAGCCCGCACTGCCTTGAGGTACATGCAGAGAGAGGGTCAGAGCTGTGATCTGGTTCTGCCTTTGTTGCCATGTGCCTTCCCGGGGATGAGAGTCTTCCTTCACAACTAGTGTCACTGGAAAAGGCCACTCCTGGGGGGTGACACAGTAGACTTGGAAATGTTCCTTCCACCTCTTCTTGCTTCCTCCCTCCCGCAGTCTGCCACTTCTTAGATCCTCAGTAACAATTTCAGACCAATTCCACATCTGCCAAGGTCTCCAAATTCATGGACTTGACTGGATGTGAATGTTTTCCCATTAACGAAGATCCTTCAGACTCTGGAGAAAGCTGGGCCAAGAAAGATGAGAAGGAGAGAGGGTATGAGAAAAGGGGGGCTTGCGTGAGAGGTCGAGGAAGGCCCAGAAAAAATCAGTAGGGATATGTGCAGAGAACTCCAAAACACAGAGGAACCCCTGTTTTAGGGGAAGGACACAAAGGTTTATTTTATTTCTTGTTTTTAACAGAACTGAACACTCGAGAAATGAGACTTCTCGCAATTCAATAATTTTGACATTGTGATCTGCTAAACTAGGTGTAACTCAATGCCAAACTTTAGCCATAGAGTACTGATCTCCCCTATTTTCAGAACCAAGTCAGAGAGCCAACCCAGAACAGGCTCTCTTGCATTGCTCGTCTGGTAAGAGATGTAGCTCACAACTGCCTACAGGAGGAAATGGGGAAAAGAGTTCTTAGGCAGAAAGTCCTGGTAACTTTCTCTTTCCTCAGTAATAATCAATGCCTTCCAACATCTTTAACTGTCATAGTCCTTCTGACAGGGTCCTGTATTCCCAAGGTTCTGCCTCTGGTGGCTGATAGAAAAGAACCCATTTAAGATAATGGTTTGTGGATTTGAACCACTTGCCTTTGGATAGGCAGTGCAGTTCTTCACCACTAGGTCACCAGAGCTAAGGGAATAGAGGAGTAAGGGAATAACTACTCGGGTGGCTAAGAAGGAACCAATTGCAGTTAATTGGCACTAATGGCAAGTCCATGGGTTTCAGAGAGTTTCATAGATTTCAAAACTAGGCTCCCCAGGGTGTTCAGTGGCTTGGTTGCATCCACTTAACTGTAACTCTTCAGTATATACAGCTAGGAAGTCTCCACCCATTAAGCTTGAGCTACTTACAGTGCCTTCTTAGGATTTATCAAGTGACCAAAGTGAAGGATGTGTCAGCCTTGCTTAGGATTTGGTGGTTCTGTTTAAATCTATTTCATATGTAAATCCCTCAAGTACTCTTTCTACCTTCTATCTTCCCACCTCACATCGGAATCATGTGTAATATGGGAAATGAACACCACAAAATTCAGTTTCCTATCATGGCTCCGGCATTCAAAGAACGATTGGAATAAAGAAGCTGTTTTTATTTTGTTGTTGTTTTGGTCCAATGCCTCCCCGTCTAACAACTAACCAGGAGCCCTACTTGGAGGCAGAAGTTATCTTCAACAACCAAATGGTTGGGTTTGACTTTGAACCTTCTCAGCTCACTACTGATGAGACTACACCAGGCGAATTTATGCAAACACAGAGTCTGCACTTTGTATACACTGTATGTCCCTGGTCTGCCCTAAATTTTTGGATCATCCACATCCTCCAACAATGAAGCACAGAATGATTTAATTAAGCACACAAATGCTAAGCCAGAATTTTTAGGGTGGGAGGAGGAAAAGAAAGGGGAAGGAGCTGAAAATGGGAAACCACAGCAGAGAAATGACATTCAGCACCAGCAGACACTGAACTTCTCTTGTTGTTTTAACTCTGCCACAAGCGTGCGATTTTGTTAAAGGAGATGACTTAAGTTGGCAGCAATAATCTTCTTTTAGTAGCTTGTACCACAGTTTTGCATGTAAGCCAAATTTGGCTGCAGTAAAGAGAATTGCCTCAAAATCAATTTTACTGAGATAATCAGCAGTGTTACTACCCTAAAGCACAGCACCAAGCAGAGAGAAATGTCTGCTTTTCTCACTGTGCCTATATTAAGACTAGAACAAGTATGATGTGTCTTCCAACAGTTATTGAAAATGCCATATCTGTTACATATTGTATTGGAGTCACCAATGATGTAATGCTATATTTTTTCATTATTATAGTAGACTATTTTTTTTAATGGCAAGATATTTGTGATCTCAATCTTTCCTACTCAAATAATGCCAAACACCAAATATGAATTTTATGATGTATGCTTCGTGCTTGGCATTAAAAGAGAAAAACACACATTTTTTGTAAGCCTGCAAGTTGTTTCTTTGTTATTGTAGTTCTTCGAAGTTGAAAAGTGTAAGTGAAAAGTCTGGAGGAAAGGGTAATTTCCACTGTGTGGAATGTGAATAGTTAAACAAAAAGTTATGGTTATTTAATGTAATTATTAATTCAAATCTTTTTGTCACTGTGATTTCAAGCATTTTCTTTTTTTTTATATACCTTCCTGTGAGTTGGGCAAAAAAGCTGGCACCTTGTATGTTGTCAGAAGCTTTTAAGCAGGAGTTTCAGGTCAGAAAAGCAATAAACCTTAACACATCTCACCAACAGAGTGAAGACCTGAGTTTTATTTTTTAAAATAGAGTGTTCCTTAAAGGATAACAGTTCTGAAGACATAGTAAGAAAAACTTTAAATTGTACTTTCAGAAGTCTTAGGATGAGTGTGTACAAAAACCCAGCAGATACTGACCAGTAGCTCACCAGTAAAGTCCTTATAAGGAAAAAAGTTTAAAATGGAAAGTGTCTGTAAAGAGCATTGTAAGTAACCAGTTAAAGCTTAAGAGTGAAAGTAGTCCTATTGGTTTGTTATCCCCAAAGTTATTTAATATTAACTGCATTATCTATCATGTATGCTTTAATCATTTAAAAACAACAAGGGATTATATAGACAATGATTGAGGTACTTTGCTCTGGATGAGGTAAAGAGGGGATTTGATAGACTCGTAAAAGCTAATTTGGTTTTAAAGTAAAGTTGTATGCATCTGTAACTATAATCTTCACTTGAATAATGTTCGAAATCATCTTTCCCGAAGAGCAGCCAATAAATCAAACTCTTCTCTTTGTTTCCATGTTCCTTTTTTTGTTGGTTTTCCAAACTGGTGGTGTTCACAGGGTGAGGTGAGGGTGAGAGTGAGGGTGGCACTCGAACCGAACACAGTTAAAATCTAGTTGATTTCAGCTCCTGGTTATTCCGCGTATTGCAGAGAACTGTGAATGTCTATGTCGGTGACGTTTTGGAAGCTGATCACCAGCCCTCTCTTCTGAAGTACTTCTGAGTGGGTTCAAACAGCCAACTTTCAGTTAGTAATTGAGTAATTAATCCTTTGCACTATCTAGAGATGCATTTGTCATGGAAAGGGAGGTAGAAAAGTATACTGTTGTGTAATCTGTATGTTATTATT